TGGTTGGGGAAGTGGTTCGCCGGGGGCGACGCCAAGTGATTCCCACATTGGTAGGTTTGAATAGTTATATACCCCTTTCTGTCTCGAGGTCGATCATTGGCACGTTGTGATTTTCAATGTTATCAAGATTATGATGGCGTGGGCGTCTGAATTGGACAAGGGGCAAAAGGTGAGATTTTGAGGTTGTGAGATAGAGGTAATGACAGTGTGTTGAGAAGCATAAACGGGAGGCAGTCCGTGCGATTTGAACTCGTTTTTGGTGTATTATTGCGCAACACCGTGAATCGGACCATGGGACGGACAATCTAAGTTAAGATGGAGGAAAAAGGTAAATTACAGGGTGTTGAGAAGCATAAACGGGAGCCAGTCCGTGCGATCTGAAGTCGTTTTTGGTGTGCTATTGCGCAACACCGTGAAGCAGACCGTGTGGGACGGACACTGTAAATTGAGTTAGAGGAAAATGCATATCAATTGTCCCGCCCGGTGCGACGACAAAAAGGCTTTAGATCAGGAGTATCAAGAGCTGGAGAAAGAGCTGTGGGACGCTTTGGGGAGAGGTGCAAATGGTGATGCCATGAGCTTCTTTGTAGTCGTTTTGGTAGAGGCTTCTGACAAAACACCCTACTCTCTCGGCGGAAGTGTCTCAGCAACATATTCCCATCCTCTTGACGGCGACGCCAATATCCACCCTCGTGTTTTTACTTGCAAGTTTAACTACACTACATACACTCTATACATACCTTCATACTCCTCCACCCCCTCTGCACCCTGCGTCTACTGAGTCTACTGAGTTCTCTTCTACACGGTTGATTTTGTAAGAGCTTGTAACTGACAACTCCTATTTCATTACTAGGGCGCTTCCGCAGGTGTAAAGCTTCGTAAACTCTCTCTTATGTTTGACCTAATTTAGCCTAGTTAGTTCTATATTGATAAGTAACTACGCCACGTCTAGCAAGTTTTAGTTAACACGGTTGATCCTGTAAAGACTTGTAACCAGCAACCCTAATCAGCTCGTTGGAGCACTTTCTGCGGATGTAGAGCTTCGTAGCCTTCCTCTTGCCATCGACTTGATTTAGGCTGGATGGTTCTGTGGTGAGAAGTAACTACGTCGCCTATCCTATGCGTGCACGCCGCGTCTTACGTTTTTCCTATCACGCGGTCAATTCTGTAAAAACCTATAACTGATAGTTTCTCTTTCTTTACCAGGGCGCTTCTACGGTTTTGGAGCTTCGTAATCTTCCTTCTCCCGTTGGCTCAGTTTCGGCTGGTTGCTTCTGTAATAAAAAGTAACCACGCCGCCTACTCTCTGGGTGAACGCCACGTCTAACATTTTCTTTTAGACGGTTGATTTTGTGATAACTTGTAACATATCTGCCTAGCATGTGCACGGAGTTGCCTCAGCTTGTAGCTTAAGAATTTTAGAAGCAGAGGGCAGATATAGGACCTGTTGCTTTCGTGACAAGAAGTGACTACGAGACGTGCATGTGATGTCGGTCCATGTCTAACAAGAATAGTTGCACGTAATTGGACCTATCAGACTTTATTGCAAAGGGGCCTCGTCTTCACCGTTTCATTACTCATAGAGGTACACGAGTACACCAGCATTATTACCTACATAATTGACCAACCGCTAGCCGTATTCATGATCATTCAATCCATAACCTCTACCGGCGGCCACTTCCCTCGTGCTGCTAGGACTCCCAAGTCCTAATACCGCTCGATAAGCCACACCCTCCTCTCCTTCTCCGGCATGTCCGCCAGCATCTTCTGCTCCACCTTCTTCATGGCCATGAAATCCCATACTAGGCCATTCGCCATGATCTCCTTTAGATCAGAGTCCTTGTCTAGCGCCTCGAGTGCTTCGTCGATAGTAGTAGGCATACGGCGATGGATGCCGTAATCAGTCTTCAGCTGTTCCGCCGACATACGGCTTGGATTATCTAGAAAGACAAATGGGGGTCAGCAAAGGCACTCTCCAGACCAAGAGCATACTCGAAAACAACTCACACGGACAATCCTTCTCCATGAAAATCTCCGCTCCGCCCTCTTTCAGTCCTAGTAGTCCCGCACCTATCACGGCCGCCATGGCGAGATATATATTCGCCATCCCATCCAAACATCTGACCTCCCACCGCCCATCACTGACCTTCCGCAACGGCGTCTCACGGTTCTGCGTCCCCCACGCTACCCATGTTCCGCCCGTCCAATGGTCGTCAACCACGCGGCCGTAGCTCACAGCCTCGGGCATCGTGAAGGCGCAGACGGCTTCCAGGTGCTTGAGCACACCGCCAACGAAGAACGCGAGCTCCTTCTCTGGTGGGCTAACGGAGATATGAGCGTGAGCCGCAGTGCCGATGCCAGGGTAGGGCTGCGGGTGGAGTGTTGCGCGGAGGCCGTGCGTCGCTGCTATCTGATAGATGACTTGACGGGCTTGGATTAGGGTGTCGATGGCAGCGAGGGCGGGAAGAGGTGGAAGCACGAATTCGTATTGCCCGGCCCCAGCCTCGGCGTGGAATTGCTGGATAGAGATCCCGATTTCAGCCAGGCTGGTGGCGACTTCGGCGAGGAGGGGGAGTTGCTGCCATTGCTGGGGCGTTAAGGTGCCCCAGGCGTGAGCGGTTGTGAGAGGAGCGTAAGGGTCGTCTGCATTCTCCGGGTGGCGGGTGAGGAGAGTGACTTCGATTTCGAAGCCGACGAGAGTGGTGATGGAGTGCGTGGAGGAGAGGTCATCGAGGAGGGTATTAAGGCCTCCGCGGGGGCACTCTTTGATAGGACTTCCGTCTTCGTCTCGCCAAAAGCATAGCACGGTTGCGGATGGTAGTGGGTCTTTCTTGTGGGTTCGTCGCAGGGTAGTCAAATCAGGCTCAAGATTTATCTGGCCTGTGGTGTTGACAGCAGGTGTTGAGACATCATTCTGTAGAGTGCCAGTATTGCCACGGGAGATACCAATTCGCCCGCCCGTCTTGACGAGGCGTTCAAATTCTGCGATTGGCACGATTCGGACTCGCATGGTGGCCATGTAATCGAGCCATTGAACGTATACAAATTGAATGGCCGAGTTGTCTTGCATGAAGTTTTCAAAAGCCTGGATGTCGTAAACTTTTGCCGGTAGAGGTGGCTTGGGATGCCACGCGATAGCTTTTTGGTTGGCCTCACCCGTTCCTTTCAAGTCCAAGACTGGAGATGGCTCCTTCAGCTCGTATAGGGCGTTCGCGTTGTTATAAAGTATATCTTTGGTCATTGAAATTGCTTGAGCAACGGTTAGGTCGTCTCTATTCACATACTCAGACAATACCTGTATATGATCGTCAGTAGAGTGGACAATGATTGCATATATTCACCATTGCGTTAGAAAGGGTTTTTAGACACGAGGGAATGGATACCTCGTATAGAGCTTCCCGGAACTGCTTATTTGCCAGCCAATACGTCTCTGGAAACCAGTGTCCGTCGGTTGAGTACAGTAGCTTGCCCCCGGGTACCAGCTCTAGGGATTGTCTTATTGCAGATATTTGGCCGTCTCTGCTCAACATTGGGAAGATCTCCCCAATATCAAGGAAGACATGACTGAAAACGGTAGCAAGATATCCTGCTTCTCTGGTATACGGATATGAAGAATGGAGAAGAACGAAGGGCACAGCTGGGTAGTTTTCGATGAGCGGCTGAAGATAGGCGGGGTTGGACTGCAAGAGATTGATATCGTTGTCCCCAAGGCCAGTATGAAACTGCAAGGGCTTGGACAGATCCGCACCAGACGTGTGGTCGGAAAGAATCTCCAGAGTCTTCAACACAAGAAAATCATTCAACGCCTTTCTTTCAATCCTGTACTTCCGTTTTCTGACAGCTCGTTGAACATAGTGCTCGAACGGTTTCGACACTTGTAGCTCCAGGTTGTCATTGTAGTCGGGTTCGACATCCAGTCCGCTCCGGTAACAAACGACCGTTTTGAAGCCAGCAACGTCAGAATCTTTGATTGCGTCGACGATTGATCGCTCAAACTCTCCTGTAAAGAGGACCCATATGTCGGTGAGATATCTTTCTTCTTCCAAATCTACTTCCGAGGCCTTCCGCAGAATGTTCTCCATGAGATACTCTGCAACTGTCTCGATCCTCACGATGCGTTTCGTAACAGCTGGAGTGTATTGATCGTGCTCATCATAAGTAAGCACCTGCTCGGCTCCGCCCAATCCGTCATCCATGAGAATGCAGTGAGTTCCATGCAAGCATTTTCGGATGAGAGCCTCCTGGTCGTTGTGGAGCCATTCAGCCCGTTTTTTAAGGATCTCATCCCAAGCAGCGTCCTTTGGGCATTCATATAGTTCTCTCAGCTGCCTCTCGGCTCGAAGGTGTGATAACGACTTGAATGTGTCTTGTAGGGCCCTTCCCTGTGCTTCCGAAGTGATGGATTCGAAGGGATGAGCTTCCACGTGAGCGGGTAATAGCAAGTTGTGCGCATGATTGTCGATGATAGGGCAACTCTCTACGGCAGCTTTGAGGGGCTCCAACGCCGTTCTGCCGTCAGCCATGGTGAGGGTGAGGTGATGTTGTATGATGGAAACACACGCAGGCTAGGAAAGAGGCGATGAGACCGTGGAGAGCGCAGCTGTTCACATGACTCAACACGACCTTCGGTAGCCCTTTCGTAACTCTAATTCAAGGCTGATGTTGTTGACCGGTGTGCTTAGTAGAGTTTAGTGATGATGTAGCCTTCAAGCCTCAGATACCGCGGGGACAGCTCATGTGATCGGAAACGAAACATCCCGAATTTAATTCATGGCACGACGAATCAAAATAGTAGGATAGCAGTTCACTAAAGCATTGCTGTCTTGCTTTCAAATACAACTACTACAGCCTGCTCAACATCATACTCTGTAACAGAATACCACTGGTGCATTCGGGCAGGTCTTCAAGTTCAAAAAAATTGGAGTAGTCCAGGGTGGCTCTCCACCAACCATACCCCCGCTCTCCACACCGTTAAGGCGCAACAAAAAGCAAAAAGATAATGGTCAATACGGGGGTCGAACCCGCGGCCTTGGCGTTAACATACGATATTAGCACCACGCTCTAACCTATGATGAGTTAGGATATGATCGAGATCAAGGTGTGTTGTGATGAGCTTACCAACTGAGCTAATCGACCTGTTGATCTGTTTGATGGAAGACCAAGTAAAAATAACTACTATATAGAATGGGACATCTTCTAGACTTTGGCTATGGTGAAAGCCCTTCAGTGCAAATTTGCGCTTACCCCCTGGTGGATATTTGACCCACTTCCCCTCCCGAAGCTCGGCCCGCAACTTCTTTGCAGGCGCCTTCGCCAAACCACCATCATGAAGTACAGCTATTCATCTAGCAGAGACATTGTGGGCTGTCCTGCTGGCTGACTTACAGGGGCGAGCCAGTCTGCGGAGTTGTGTCCATCCCAAGTGGCAAAACTCGTGATCAAGAATGACTCTGCACACGACTGAGTCTGCAATACGAAGCTCGCTGGGTATAGATCTGCAGCCAAGCTGAGGGGCGCAGTAGCATTGCATCTTTCTCTTTGAATACAGCCACACTTCACATGATCTTTTCGTCTTGTGATTTGCCTGATCAAAACGAACTCTATGCCAAGCTCCAAAGGTAGATGTTCAAGATTCTAAGTCAAGCTCGTATCTCTATTATCAGTACGAAACACCATGGTCAATCTTCCGACAAGAGGTGTAAGCGTACAGATGACGAAGTTTTGGTCATCCACCCCTTCCCCAATCTCTGGATCTCCTCTCCGCCATTCCCCCGGATCGTCCAGTAAGCTGCGGCACCGGGACGCGCCGGGGCGACTCCGTGGCGCTCAGGAGACAATCCGTAGTCACGCTTTTGACAACGCAGCTCAGCAACTCCGTGCCAGGTATGCCAGCATGCAGCTGGAAAAACATCGTACGATAATAATATGCAACTCTTGAAATGGTAGAGTAGTATGTTATATGTATCTGCCCCACAGATTATTTTACTATCTTCAATCTAAATCACATCCTTATATTCTTGCAATAATTATTGATTATTCGAACTGTCAATCTCCAAATACCATCGATCACATACCATCATGAGAAACGTTCTTATTGTTGGCGCGACACGAGGCCTCGGGCACTCTCTGGCAGCCCAATATGCGAAGAAAGGCATGACAGTCTATGCAACTGCCCGTTACTCCATTCCTCAGACGCCAGCACATGGCATCCATTGGATTGCAAATGTCGATGTAGCCCACGAGGGAGCTGGTCGCAGAATAACTGCTCAATGGCAGGAAGAAACCAAGATCGATGTTCTCATCATTTGTGCTGGTTACTTTGCTATGGAAACTCTCGAAGAGCCTCATTGGGACAAGGAAGTCACCATGTACAAGACTTGTGCGATCGGGCCCGTGTTTCTCGTCCATCATCTTCTCCACGCAGGGCTCCTAAAGAGGAATAGTAGAGTGATCCTTGTTGGATCTGAAAGCGGAAGCGTGACGCTGCGCCATGAGAGTCAAGGCGGAGGTAACTACGGAGGGCATGGAAGTAAAGCTGCTCTCAATATGGTTGGGAAGCTCTTGAGCATAGACTTAAAGCCGAAGGGTATCGCTGTTGCCATCGTCCATACAGGCTATCTGAGGAAAGAGAACAAGGAGGGCTATTTTGAGCCTGGTTCAAAAGGAGGTAAGTCCTGCTGCATTCCTACTACACATACGGTTCTTGACTATTTTCCTAGCTGTCAAGCCAGGTGAAGCTGCCACTGGACTAGTCGAGTGGATTGAATCCTTTGATATGTCTAAGACTGGGGAGCTTTGGGCGCCAAGGGGAGCTGGGTACGTTCTTCTTTACAGATTTATGGTTTGAAACTTACGAAACATAGCGACATCAATTCCGCTGAGGTTGTGCTTGGTCCACTAGATACGCTGCCAGTGCCGCTTCAGCTACCGTGGTAGTCTAGCGGTCAAACTTTTCTCGCTAGTCTGTTCGTAGCATACTTTTCCTACGTTGGTCTCCAATATCGTGGTGACAAGACTAAGGTCTTCTCGCCTCATAATAAGCGCCCTTATCATTATTATCATCTGGACAAGGAATAGTCGGGAGACATTCTCGGTAGTCTTCAATTCGGCATGCATCGGCATGGAGGTTGCAAAGCGCTCGAAGGGCGTGAAATCAAGAGAATGACATGAGAATTATTTAGTATGTGGAGAGTCAAGTCAAAATTGAATTACCTAGATGAACATATCTATATATTGATATCCTTGAAAGTGAACGTAATATCAACTTATAGACGAGTTCTCATACTCTCCCTTGGAAGTGTCGCAAAGTCGAGAGTCACTAGCGCGCAAGGCTCCCCGCACTACTTTCGCCTTATCAACGCACTGCACTCCTCAGTACGTTGTACTCCTCAGAACGTTGTCAGTTTTCCATAAAGTAAGTCCACCGTTCAGCCTTGCCAGGTCCGTATTATGCGTGCCCGATGTCCACAGCACCGGTCACTCTTTCTGCAGTCATTAAGATGCAGTCTGCAACCGACACTAGCTTTCACTGGCCCATTGGCTTTATCCATTGGCGATCCTCTCGACTTGCTGGACTGGCGACTTGATGCTAACAGCACTTCCTAGACATAGTCGCGCGAAGCGCACTGTAGCTTATCATGCCTGCGATGCTGGATGATCCGACTGCTGCCATCATCTACCGTACTTCTGGCGAAATGCCATACCCTACCGCGGGGACGCCGCTTCCTCTGGACATTATACCCCGCCAGGTCATCCTCAGAGACAGAGTCACAACGGCTACCTTGTTACCTTTCTCTTCGCCGGATCAGGTGCCTGTGTCGTTGGTAGCATACCTGTCGGACCAACTCAATCGCGAAATCGAAAAGGGCGACACTTATCCCATGATCACCCCGCTACCTCTCGAATCCTTCGGCCCATACTGGTTTGGTGTATTCGGTGCTGTTATGCTTCTGGGGGATATACAAAGCCCTGCGCAGCTTCTCGATATGGAGAGACAGGGACGAGACTGGGATAAAGAATGTCTGGGGAGTTTCTACATCAAGCCAAATTACCCCGGCCGGTCTAGCCACGTCTGCAATGCTGGCTTCATAGTCACAGATGGTGCGCGAAATCGAGGTGTGGGTAGACTGATGGGAGAATGCTACCTAGATTGGGCTCCGAAACTTGTTGGTAGCCCTCGAAAGTCGTGCAGAACATGATCGCTGATTGATTAGGGCTACACTTATTCTGTGTTCAACCTTGTCTACGAGACCAACGTTGCATCCTGCCGTATTTGGGACGCTCTTGGCTTCAAGCGTATTGGAAGAGTCAAAGGAGCTGGAAACCTCAAATCATACCCCGACGAGCCCGTCGATGCGATAATCTACGGTCGAAGTCTTGGAGGTGACGATGATTTTGTTTCTGAGGAGCGATTCGACAAAATAAGGTACTATCTCAAATACGACAAATACCCCGATGGCGCCGATCGAGCGGAAAAGAGCCGGCTAAGGAGCGCTTCACTACACTACAGCCTCATCCCGGCCTCGGGCGACGAGCCGGAAAAACTGATGCTAAAGGGAAAAGAGGTGATTCCGGACCCTCAAAAGCAGTACGAAATTGCTCGAACCTTTCACTTAGACAGACACGGGGGAATCAACAAGACTACGGCTGCGATCGCCGAGAAATACCATTGGGTGAGGATCAAGGAGACTGTTAGCCAGGTCATTCGCCATTGTTCAGAATGCGGCGAACCAAGTAAAGCGGAACCTCCACGACCAGCTGCTTCGGCGCGACCCCAAACTTCGAGACAAGATTCAGCCCCTTCGAAAGCGCAATCACCGTCTCCGAGTCAACAGCTTCAGCAGGAGGCTTCCGGGGCAAGCCTCCCAGAGATTGAGCAACAGCTTGAAGCTTACGGGAGTTCTACTTATCAAGTACCAGAGCCGGTGTATTATCGAGACGGCGACATGCCGGTTGACCCTCAGCTTATGAACCCTCCTCTCGACCATCCGCCGTCACCCTTCCTTTCGGCGACTCTGTCAACGCCTGCTGATGGAAGCTCCGCGCAGGACACACCGATGACAGGAACTGGTGAATCTAAGCCTACAATGTCGCATTTGACACAGCAGATGGCCCATACTACCACATATAACCCAACGGCAAGAAGGCAATGAGCATCACCAGGATGATATAGATCAATCTCACGTCTGCCACAACGTGGCTCTGGATTCTGACGTTGATAGAGGTGGTTGTAGTAGTGCTTTTATGTCCTTTTATACGTTGCTGTGGGCTTCGGCCTCAACACAAGAAGGTAAAGATGTCTTAGGTAGTAGAAATAGACTACTTATGAATATAAAGACTGGCACCATATTAGCACCTTGATGCCAATGCCGTTATACCTCGTATCTGCGCACCACCTAATCAACAACAACGCAAATTGCAGTAGAGAGCGAAATTCTTGTTCAATCGTCCGTTTCGTTTCTCGACGTATAGTCTGCATGTTGTTGGAGGTGAAGCATTTTAGCTCTAACGCTCTACATAGTTTAGTCTAAAGTAATTCACATCTGCTATGGTGGAGTTCAAAACTTCGTGATCGCCGTTGACATCCCTGAGGCGATGACGCACGCCAGTCGCGGGCGATCCAAACAGCACCCCTCCATCAGCCACAGCCATATGCCAGAGATCGTCATAGGGCAGCCATGCCAACTTAATAGAGCGCAAACTCTCCTGATGCCTACACTCACATATTGCCATTATTGAAACACCCTGGTGTCTAGCACAAAGACTCTACGACCTGCCACCCTCTCAACTCTATCTCGAACCCCGCTACAACTACGACACTCGAACCCCTCCACCTAAAACAACCCCACCACGCCACCATGGTCCTCGAATACTTCACCAAGCACACCAACAAGCACCAGCATGCCGAAAACGGGGAGCACAACGCCCAAACACCCGTTCTGAATGACGAGGACGAGTTGTTCCTCCAGCGCATCACATCCGAGGGCACGCCACCACCGCTGCCTGAGAGACCCGTCGTCATACTCGATAATGGCACGAAGCTGCAGGGCAAGGATGCGCAGACTGCGCTGATGAATGGCGCAGAGAAGGTTCCACTTCCTACATCTCCGCCTGTGGATAGCGAAGGCAAAGAACTC